TGACACAGCTGTACTAGTCAGGCACACTAACCCTGCAACAGCAGTTACATTACTACAAGAACATATCACAAAAATAGAAAAGTGGCTTCAAGCAAAACAAATCAAAGCAAACCCCGAAAGATGCAAACACATTACATTCACACTGCGAAAACAGAAACCACCAAACATTGTACTAAACGGCACACGCATAACACAAACAAGGCAAGTCAAATACCTAGGACTCCACTTAGATTCACGACTCACATGGAAACAGCATATTAAAGCAACAATAGACAAAATACAGATGGCAAGGAGACAAATGTACTGGCTAACAAGTCGAAAATCCAAACTAAGCATAGAGAACAAACTAAAAATATATAAAATGGTCATAAAACCAATCTGGACGTACGGAATAGCACTATGGGGAACAGCAGCAATGAGCCATATAACCAAAAGATATGATGCTGCACTCCATGCTTAATCGTACTTCGCCTGAAGACGGGTGGTCGGGTCAACGCCGGGAATTCTGCTAATAAGCGATGGTACGGGGATTCCTTGTCGATGGTCCTAATGGATCCTACGTCGGTTTCAGCTGCGGATCCCCTCGTAAACAGCTGGGTAGTCTTGTCCAGGAGTCGCCTGTTTCGCGGGTCGACGAGTAACCCGTAATGGCCCAAAAAGTCAACGCCGATGATAAGTCATGAGCACTTTATTAAAGTAATGCTTTGATACAAAGCGCAAGCCCTGGTATAATATTTTATCGGAATAAATACGCGCGTGTCGAGAAACTTCGTATACACTTTGATGCGTCGATATGCTTACTCTGCGATCGCTGAACTCTCTCGCTCGTCATTTCGCTTGTTTATTTATACTGGTCGAGGGACAGTCGGAAAGTTTGAACTCGACTGCGTTTGACGGTTGAAAGTAACGGCGACATTGTTTTGCTCGGAGTTTATTACACCTTGCAATATCTGTGACCTAACGGTCATGATACTCCGAAACAAAACAACAATAAGATTTGAATTTATCCTGCTCGCGTGCCGCTACAGACTAAAAAGGAAACACCCAACAGATCTCACAAAGGACATAACCTAACATACAAACACTCACCACACTAAAGAAATAAATCAATCAAATTCGAAGATGGTATCCCACTGGAGGTAGCCATCCACATGCTATATTGCTATATCACTAAGCTATAATATTTTGCCAAATGTCCTACTGGACAAATTGTAAAATGTAAATAAATAAATAATAAAAAGAAAGAAAACTGGCTATTCTTTTTATTTGTTGCTGTACCTCCCTTTCCTTTCTTGTCAGATCGTCATCTATGTATATTCTCTTTTCCAATTTGCCTTTCTCCTTCATTACCCTTATTTTTTCCTCCATTGATTTCATCATCGCCACTATTATTGTGTTTTTGTCCCCCACTCTTATCCTATGTGTTCTTTCTATTTCTGCCCCTATTTTCATTTTTTCTCTTATGAACTCCTTTACTGTCCCTTCATTGCTTCCTTCGTTCCAGTCTACTCTTTTGATTACTATGTTCCTTCTTCTTTTCTCTCCTTCTGCTCTGTCCTTCTCCTCCTCGATTCTTCTAATTCTGCCCAATAGTTCCTTCTTTTCCCTTTCCCACCCTTCTCTCCCTCTGGCTCTCTCTGTCTCACTACTTGCCCTTTCCTCTTTCATTTCCTTCTTCATCTCCTCCACTTGCTTTTCGAATATCCCTTTTATTTCCTTTATCATTGCTCCGAATCCTCTTTCCATTTTCTCTATTTTTTCTATCATTACCTCCATTTCTCTCTCCCTGGCTGGTGTCTCCTTTTCTGACAAGCTGTATTTATCCAATGTTAGAAAAAAAACATGTGTTAAAACAATTAAGTTAAAAAGTTGAAGTTTATGGTGGGTCCTTAAGTTTATTGAGGGTCGGAATGACGGTATGTGGACCGTAGGTTGCCAGGCAATGAAGGACGTCGCACGGACCATCTCACGTGACATAACAGAGTTATTCTAAAGAAACGGAAATTTTTTGTGGCTCTCATTTTTTAACATTCTCAAAAATCTTGAATTATATTGTTAACATGATAGAGAAAGATAAAAACTGTAACTTCATAGGCAAATTATAAAGAACTATTAATTTAATTTATTTATATCCGTAAACTACTTTTTATAGATGAAATTCTCAGCCTCCCGCTAATCAAAATTACAAAATTTAGTTTACAACCCATGCTCAATGAAGGAATTTGAAGTTATTTACTAATTTTTCTACTTTATATATATTTTACAATAGGCATATTTATTTTCTCTTTAATCGACTTTGTTTTATTGACAAAAAACATTTAGACTCTTTTCAATCCCCCGTCTGTGAAAATATTTCTAAAAAATTCATGTCTGTGGTATTAACAGAGAGAAAAACGCCCATTGTTCTAGTTGTTCCACGGTACATACTGCACCACGCGACCAAATGTTAAAGGTGCTCCACGCTAGCATATGCAAGAACTTATTTCGTTTCATAACAAATGAGATATACTCGCTGTGGTTCTACGCTATAAGAGTCTATTTCATTGCACAGTTCTACGGGAAATTTTCATACTTTTTTATCTGAAATAGACAAGTATAAGAATAATAAAATCGCGCAATAATTAAATTTAGTTGCCTCAGAAAGAAAAATTAATTGTTTATTATATTATTTTTTAGGGGAAAAAAGAAAATCTTTCCTTTTAAATGATAATGGATCAATGAAAAGACGCTCAATGATGATCAATGATTTTTTTTTATACATATATATTTGACATGAAATTTATTTTCCTCGCGATAACGTTTTTGTTATAATAAAACCTAAATTTCATTTTAATATAGTAGCTGACAGATTGCAAATAATGTTTCTGTTGATGTTGTAACTGTTCTGTATGCGTGTTTATTTATAAAAACGATAAAAAAAGAGGAACAAATTAACTGCAGACAATATTTCACGTCATGATTAATTTGTGATCCACGATTTTTATCCATCTTACTTTCATTACTGAATAAAACTTATAATTATTTAGAAGTTTGCCCTCATCACCGACTTTTATGCTTTTTGAATATACTGTCGGGACCATGACTCTGAACGTATTTGTCTTATATATGTAACCTCTGCACAGTCCTACTTTCCGAGGTATTCGCAAAAAACTATCTGTACTATCTCATTGAATCCGGCCCATATGTATGATATATATTACAGTGCGATTGCACGCGAAATTTTACTTGACTGCCTCGAAATGTAACTTCATGCAATCGAGACTTTTTAAAGCGTAAGGATAGTACGCTGGTGCGTATGTACAAGATGAGTGAGTGACTGATCTACGGGTGTATACCCGGTCAAAGGTTGTTGACTGTACGAAGGATGGAAAATCAGTCGTGTTCGAAGCCGATGCTGTGGCGGAGGAAAGCTAAGGATGGGTGTGTCTAGCACGCGGGACCGGAATTGTTGGTGGTGATTTTGGCTAAGAGAATGAGGGAAATAGACTTTGTTGTTAATTGGTTAAACGAAGGTTGGTGGACTAGGAAGGGCCTTAGCCGCCCTCGATAGAAAGTGGTTAGTGGGAGGCCTCATACGTGAGAAAACTAACTTTCCCGTGTCAAGCCGTAGTAGACAATACTCTTAAAAGAAGCGATTTAGAAAAAGCTGTTAGTTGGGTCTGAAGGACCTTAGCTAGTAAATTCCTTAGATTTACGATGGGTCCTTAAGACTATTGAGGGTATGCAGCAAGGATGAGCGGACATCTGGTTTCCGTCTGGCCCGCGGTGTGTGGCCTGGTCCAGGTAGAGTGTCGCCCGACGTAACATATGTAAACGAATTTCAAGGGAATATATGCACATATTATTATAAACGCGTTCTGATTTATTTGAAACGCCTAGTTTAACGAGGATGGTAAAACACGTGCAGGATAGCCTGTTCCGCTCGCCCGTGTTTACGATTCTACAAAGAATGACCGAATACGCCAATAGCCCGAATAGCAATCGTTAAACGTTGGTGCCCACTAGACTACGATGCCATATGGAATAGCATTAATGTACGCTACCCTCAAATGTCTTCGCTATCTCTTCCTAGAGTCATCTTATGGTGAGCGCGAGGCGAGTATGGGTTCTTGCGTAGTAAGACTACGCCGTAGGGAACCCTAATGAATTTGATATTCTCCTGTCGGGTCACTGCCGATCGTTGCCTTCGTGTACTTTTTGGTTTGCCGATCCGGTGCGAAGAATTTCGAAGAAGTTGGTGGGCCCATACCGGTCAAGACCACCCACCTTAGGGTGGGGCTCCCTGTCAGCCTGCACCGCCTCTGAGTGGCCCTCTGAGTGGCATGCGAACGGGAGTTACTGGTGACGACTGGGCGAAAACAAAGAAATCAAGGACATGGACAACAAGAAGAGTAACGTTTACGGTGCAGGGGAGGGAGACCTTAGTACTCGTACCAACTCGAAAGTGTTTCTACGTCTAGGTAGAATGTACAGAAAGAAATTAGTAGAAGGAACTCCGACATATCGGGGGCATCGAGAGGGAGCGACCCGGGATTCTTCTAGAATGAGCTTCCTTTGTGGCAGGAAGGCGGGAAGTCCTATGATGATATGTTATCGATATACCTACGACGATATATCGTCGGCTTACTCTGTCAATGTAACCACATTGGGGAAGCGATCGTAACGGAGGATCGCCTGGATATGCGATGGGAACGGCGGCGAACATGAAGAGCCGAAGACCGGAACTGGCGGATGGTACCACGGGAGTCGAGTGTAAACCCGGAGGGAGTAGCGACCACCCTGCTCGACTAATTATGGGTTTTGACTCGTGGTGGCAGTGGTTGATGGCCAAGATGCTGGCAAGAGGGCCGATTTAAGGGGTATTGGCTTGCCCCGAATGGCCTTCGGCGGGTGAGCAGCGTCACACCTGCTCCGGAACCGTCCTGGACAAAACGCCCCATTCGACCTGAGACGAGCGATAGCCCCTGCCAGGCTTAACTAATCGAAGTAACAAGGCACTACGTGCCTTGGCTTAGCTAATCAAGGTAGCAAGGTACTGGGTGCCTTGCGCGCTGGTTGGGCGTAACCCCAACCCCTATGGCCCTATGGGGTGCCCAGGTACTGTATGGCGATAAATTTGCGCTAAGGAAAGAACCCGTTACCGTTACCAAAGACAAGAATACTTGTCGCAGCCTCCTGCTGGTCAAGAGGTTCTATAGGACGGCGGTGAGAGGCGGTGAGAGGATTCCGCACCATCTCGACGACGGCAGCGG